GTGCACAATGTTTTTAAAACGTGATGACAATATTTCATTAAACATGTTCTTGCATAACATTCCTGTAGCGTTTTAAAAACATCTCACTTATATGTTGTGAAATAGTTTCAAACACGTTATAGCATGACGTTTTTGAACAACATTTTGAAAACATTTCAAAAACATTTTCAGTATTTTGGAGAGATTTAGACATTATTTGTATGATATGGCATAAATGTGTGCACAATGTTTTTAAAACGTGATGACAATATTTCATTGAACATGTTCTTGCATAACATTCCTGTAGCGTTTTAAAAATGTTTCAATGGCATGTTATGAAATAGTTTCACTCATGTTATAGCATGACGTTTTTTAATAACATTTTGAAAACATTTCAATAACATTATGATTTGTTGTGAAACATTTTTATAACATTCCAAAAACATTTTGACGAAAATGTTTTTGAAAATCTATTTTGAAACCTTATGAAAATGTTTCGAAAATGTTTTGTGTTAACCCGCGGACCTTCACGGGTTAGTTTTAGTATAAACGTAACAATATCACGATACATGAATATAACCTACAATGCTTGATTTAAATTATATTGATCTGGCTGAAGCAACGCCATACAGCTGTTCTCTTTAATCGAATTTTGAAAACTGCTGACACACCAACATCTGGCATCTCAATCGCTATATTCAGGTTTTGTTCAATCGATTTTATTATATATTTCAGTCAACCTGTATGGAAAACTTTTGCATTTTATATGTGTCGTGGACGTTTCCCCAACTATAGGTTTGTATTTAATGTGTCAATATAGCTTTAAACTTTGACAAAACTGCAAGAAACTATCCAGGGGCGCGTAATATGAGAAGAACGAGAACGGGAGGTTTTGATGAGATTAATTATTTTACTTGGATTATCGATAAATCTGTTTGATAATATGCAGTACATGTTGTAAATACCATCTATCATGATACAAAGTAATTGTTGTGGTAGTCACTTAGCAAGGGTTTCCACAAGATATCATTATCGCCTACGTAAACCCATTATCACCAACTTTACCTCATTAAAGCCAATTTCATCCCGTTAGTGCACACTCAACCGATCAGAGCCGAAACTCACCCCACTGTAACCAACTTCACCCCATAAGAGCCAGATCCACTAAACCAGATTCAACTTTACCTCTTTAGAACCGTCTTCACCGAATTAAAGCCGCTTCACCCTGTCACCTCACCGAAAACGATCAAACTCAACTTCATTAAAGGAAGCGCCGCCCCATTAGTGCCAACTTCACTTCATTATACCTGCGTTCAAGTCATTAGTAAGGCAAATCGCCTTATAGGACCCGCGTCAAACCCATGTAAACCCACATTACCTCATTAAATCCCACTGTCCCTTATTTGATCCTATTTCACCTCATTAGAGTCCGCTTCGCCGCATTAGTGAGTGAGTGAGGATAGTTTAAGCCGCACACAGCAATATTCCAGCTATATGGCGGCGGTCTGTAAATAATCGTATCTGGACCAGACAATCTAGTGATCAACCGTATGAGCATCGATCTTTGCAACTGGGATACGATGACATGTGTCAACCAAGTCAGAGAGGCTGACCGTTAGTCGCCTGTTACGACAAGCCTGGGTTGCTGAAGATAAATTCTAACCCGGATCTTCACGGGGAGACAAGCATGGGGTACTGAAGATGAATTTTAACCCAGATCTGTACGGGATCACCGCATTAGTCCCCACTGTACATCAACAATAAACTCTGAAAGTCATTGAAGCCCACTTCACCACATTGGATCAAATTCGACGTCACCAGAAGAGTCTTCACCTCATCAAGCCCAATTCATCTCCAATACACCTCCAATCTCCAATACATCTCCAATGCCAACCCATCAGAGCCCGCTTCGCTTAAGTAATGCCCATTTAACTGCAATCGAGCCCATAAGTCATAGGCGGATCCAGGCAATTTCCAAGTGTGTGTGTGTGTGTGTGTGTGTGTGTGTGTGTGTGTGTGTGTGTGTGTGTGTGTGTGTGTGTGTGTGTGTGTGTGTGTGTGTGTGTGTGTGTGTGTGTGTGTGTGTGTGTGTGTGTGTGTGGTGATTGGATGGGTTGGGGGTTGTTCAGAGGGTTCGAACCCCTTGAACCCTACCTTGGTTCCGCCAATGCAAAATATTAACTTCAATGTGGGCTTTAGTCCTTTTCAAATCTCTAGATCCGCCAATGTAACTGTATGTACTTTTATGAGGATCGTTTTTCTGCTGCTAACATTGATTTTGGAAAATATATCTCCTTTCCGCCTACTTTCCTCTCCATGACAAATGGTGAGGTGCCAGGTCGATATAATTAAAAGCGACAAAACCATTTAATCGAAATAGTTAAATTATGTAATGATCTTGCTACTGGCCAATACGACATCGTCTCTGTCTGAAGAGATCATCATGCGACGATGTCGTATTGGCCATACAAGATATACTCATGAATATTCATTAAAAGGTGAGTATTGTAGAGTCTATATATCTCGCGATCGAAGACTCACGGTCAAGCATGTGCTGCTTGACTCTACTAATTGTTTTCCCTCACAAGGGATCAATATTCAAATCATCATTTATATGTATGAAGGATATATTACTGACATTAGTCCTCATGTAATAATTTCACCTTTAAATGATATTGAATAAATTGAAAAACTTTGAAAATAATATATTTTGGCAAATGGATGTAAAGAAATATATGAGAAAGAATGAATACATAACTACGATAGTGGAAGTAACTTCAAAGGGGATTGAAGTAGCGTACAACAATTGTCCCTCTGAGAGAGTACCATTTCATTCGGAGTAATGTTCATTCTCCAGTATTTTTGTCGCAGAATATATTTTTCTTAATGTGTGGCTAATTTGCACAAACTAGAACTGAAGGAATGATACAAATCCAGCTTGGATTGGTGCAGGAAGCAAAAGTACTGTAAATGCCCATGGCCACACAATGGCTGAAATACTGCTGATGTGACTATACATTTTATCACATTCACTCATTTAAGCCAACTTCAACCCATTAGGGCCCTGTTTACCTAAATAGATCCCTCTGTAACACATAAAAGCCATTTCACCACATAAAATGCCACTTTTCTGCAGTCGACCCCTCTTTAATACAAAGTCAACTTTAACCCATTAGGGCCCTGTTTACCTAAATAGATCCCTCTGTAACACATAAAAGCCATTTTCACCACATAAAATGCCACTTTTCTGCAGTCGACCCCTTTTAACACAAAGTCAACTCCAACCCATTAAAAGTTTCAATCATGGAAGCTTATTTAAGTATAAATGCTCGTTTAATAATAGATTTAAAAAATCAACATGAACTGATTAACAATGTGATGTGGTTGTACCCTCGAATGGGGATTGAAGTATTGTAAAAGTACTGTACTATAGGACTTTTATATTATTTTATTTATGATTTTAAATGTAGAATATGTCTGCCTTTAATTCATGACTAAATTTGTCAAAATAGCTATGCAGTTAGCAAAAGTACTGTAAGTCCCCATGGACCCTAGTCTGGTGGTCTACCTTCAGTTGTTGGTAACCTATAGCTCATTTTTATATTGTATTGTTGCCTATATAATTATCTTTTTATGATATCATGCTATTTTTAAGTCTAAATCTGTGATCGTCTTGTTGTTTCACTGTCCTTTGTCGACAGGTATTTACATCGTCTGATTTTGATTTTAGTAATAAGCAGCTTTCACAGTCACGATATGGGTGAAATAATGTCGATGAGACAATAAATATTAACTCACTCCTCCTTAGAATCCTCAGTAAGTCATTTAGGTCCTTCCCCCAAACACGTTACATCAACAGAAACTCGCATACCTCTCTAGAGCTTGCTTCATCCCTTCCGAGCCGTGTTACCTCATTTAAGCCTCTTTAAGTTAATTTTGAATTCACAACTTCTTTATTGCCATAGTTATATGTAGATGTTACACCGTTATCAAGCAAGTGATATGTAACATTATGCACACTTAAGCTCATTGTAACCCATTAGAGCCCACTTTACCACATAAATCCCACTTCACCACATTAATCCCACTTCACCACATTAATCCCACTTCTCCTCAGAACAATTTTGTTCCCATCAATAATATTTTTTTCAGCCTCCAAACACATACCCCATCCATGGGGATTCCTGTGCACATGCCCCTTCCAACTTTCAACCATGTTCCGCCCACAAATCTTCCCCCAACTCAGTCTCCATCATGAATGTACGTGTGGCATCCAATTAACGAAAGTGTCTCTGAAACACATGCATATTTCCGGCTCGGGTGACCCTGCTACAAAGAGGCGTACATCCGACCGTATTACCCTCGAGAGAAGCATACAACTTATAGTATTAAATTCATGACATATTGCACCTCTTTGTACATATCCACCAGAGTCTGTTCTTACGACTTGCATGCTTAGTGTACATGTCCTTCAAATACATTTGAAAAACCACTTTATTCACAAAACACGTTGTACTCGCTCTAATACTCAGTCAGAATCAGAAGCCAAGTCTCATGACACAAAAATATCAAAAGTAATTTTGGTCATAGTGTTTTGAAAACATTTGAAAGACCATTTATTAACAAAACACGGTGTACTCGCTCTAGCACCCAGTCAGAATCAGAAACCGAATCTCATGTCTTCTTATTACATTTGAGAAGCCACCCAGTGACTACTATATTAACAAAGCATAATCGAAGTAATATACTATGTAATTGATTTAATTAAGAAATTTAATTAGCGTTTTTGGCAATTTTACAACCCACTAATATATGTTGTTGTATTGTGACTTTTTTCCTGTGACTTCTTTTCGGTGACTTTTTTTCCTGTGACTCTCTTTCCTATATTCTTGCGGCTTTTCTAGAATACTGTTCAAAGTGACGGGAAACATGACTCGGCGTAAAATATACAAATTGCATTTTGAGCAATTCATCATTTAGTTTCTCAACCCTACGTGTACACATCGATGACAACGGGCATGGTTAGTGCAAGCAGCTTTTATTGCTATCTGGATACATGTAGACATGGTTACATAGTCAATTGATAACGCGGTCTCCCATCCCGATCTGAAAAGACAAATGAAGATTTGATATCAACGACGCCTATTCTGTATTCTGTATTTTGTGCAGATATGAAATAAGTAATTAGCTAAGTAATTACTAATCACAAAGCTCCAATTTGAGGTACATTGTAAATTTACATGCATAGGACAAGCTGACATGTCTTTGAGTGAGTTTAGTTTTACGCTGATTTTAGCAATATTCCAGCACTTTCTTTGAGTCAAATACCCTTGAATTCCTCCAGTGGATTTAACATACATGTAAGTACGCTGATCAGATAACAGTAAACAAATATTCTTGCTAGAAAACACAGACGTCTAAAGTTTTAATTGCAACAAATTATATACCCACCTTCCTCGAATAAGGCTCAGCTGAAAAGAAAAAACATATATGTGTTGTTATTGTGGCCGAAGTGTCATGCCGTATCTTGATTTCGATGAGTGAGTGTGCGAGTTTAGGTTTAGGCTGCACTCAGCAATGATCCAGCTTTATGACGGCGGTCTGTAAATAATCGTGTCTGGACCAGGCAAATCTTTATGATCAGCCGTATGAGCATCAATCTTTGCAACTGGGATGCCATGACATGCGTCAGCTAAGTCAGCGTCGCCTGTAATGAGGTGAGGTGAGGTGAAATTGGGTTTTACGTCGTGCTTGAGAATATTTCGCTCATATGACGACGTGCATGCGTGTTTATGTGTATGTGCGGCTGCTTGTACTAGCCCAGACTGAAGCTGGTTTTATAGTGCTAGCCCACTGAGATACCGTGACGCAGTGAAGCATGAATACCCCACTCAGACACATTATACTGACTCCGAGCCGACCAGTCCTTGCTGTACCCATTAATGCCGAGCGCCAGGCAGGGACCAACAAGTACCATATTTAAACGTCTTTTGGTATGACGCGGTCGGGGATCAAACCCGCGACCTTCCGCTCTCCGGGCGGACGCTCTAACCACTACACCACGGAGGCGGTTTTCGCCTGTAATGACAAGCCTAGGATGCTGAAGATAAATTCTAACCCGCAGCTTCAAGGCTGTGATTTCCGTGAGAGGAAAAATATTCATGGGCAATACTTCTCGTGTAGTTTGTGCCATGGCATTGCGACCTCTACTGAACACAGTTGGCAGCGGTTGGGTTCGCACATCGTCATATAATGTCATATACAGGTACGATGTGGAGGTCATTTGAATTCCCGCCCTTGTTATACTACTTTGGCGATGTGCCCTGCCATTAGACCAACACTTCAAAATTGCAACTTTACACCTGATGGCACAAATAGCCATTATCTATATTGACATTAGCTGGTCCAAGTTGTTCAAAGAACGCTGTTTCTGATATTTCATATGTCACATGTAACTTTAGTATATGTCATTTTAACATTTCGTGTGTTTTTATTACTAAACATTTCAGAATTTCACTTCCATTTTTGTACAGATGCTGCACAAGTATTTAAGAAATTATAATATCTAATTGGTACCTGCGTACGTTCTTCAAAATCGCATTAAATTCTTTGATCCCATTTTCTGATATATTAATAAGTGTATTATCAAAATACCACTGGCACAGATTAACATCTAAACTTCAAATTTACAAATGGAATTATCTTTCACTGCAGTATTCAATGTTTGAATATAACTTTAGTCTTTTGGATATTTTCTGTTCCTATTTAGAACCCAATTTTCTCGATACTTCGCCAGAATAAGGACCCCATGCATTTAATCCGTTTGCAGAATAGCTGAATGTATTGTCTATGTGGGAATATTTCTTACAGGGCGTATGTTGTCATAAATATTCAATGCCATCTTCAAATAAACGAAAGCTTTCTTTGAGGAAATTTATTTCATTTCTACGGTAAGGTAGGTAAGGGACCACTTGGTTATGGATGTTGACCTCGGCCATCTTTATTTCATGGTAGTACTGATGGGACTTCTGATGGGACTATTAGACCGCAAAGCGCCGAATACATTCAACGATAAAAGAAGCACGAAGTGGTGACAAACAATGCTATGTTATCGATGTTCTGCAATAGTATTGTGCATGATCATGTTGTTTAATGTGCTACTGGAACGAATCGTGTCAATGAAGAAACAATATATTTTGATTTAGGAAAATACTCATTTCTAAAAACGACAGAAAAATTTACAACAACAACCTATTCTTGATGGAAACTAGATAAACGTTCGTTTGAATTTAGTGCGTTTGTTACATTTTCATGCCAATTTATTGTATTACTACATATATTCAACGTGTCATACCATCTTCGAGGGTCCAGCAGAAGAGATGGACATGATGTTGCGTTATTCAGAGTGTATTGCAAGTCTTGAATCAAAGTAGATTCGTCGTAAACCTCAATATGTCTGAAACAGAAAATGTTTATTCAGTTAGATAATTTACTCGTTTAAAACAACAGGTGCCACAGTCAAGATAAGATTTCCATCTGATAAAAATCAGATGTTAGTCTCGCTTTGGCTTATCAAAATCTCAGGACATATAATTATATGTCACGTTAGACGGATCTTTTGACGAGCTATGGCGAGCTATATTCTGTTCTGGTGAGGTAAAAGAAGCTGAGGTCGAGCGAGTGAGTGAGTCATATCGGCAGTATTTCAGCCATATGAGAGTTGTATATCAAAAATAAACTTAGACATTATAACTATCTGTCAACGAAGGAAAGTGAAATATCTAGATTATCACAATTGTAAACGTAAGACTAGCATATAATCATAAAACAATATTTTTAAAGAACAACACAATATAAATGCCACGCATTAACTCACACAGCGTATGTTTTTAAAGCGGACAGATTATTTTGGCAACTTGAAACCTAAAAAACATAAATCTACTAGAATGTCCAGAGGAAGAACGCGATCGTGTGGTACTACTTCCCTCCGGCTACTTGCACTCCGTGTTTCACATCTGATATTATGTAATCAACTTTGTCTCGAGTGAGTGAGTGAGTTTAGTTTTACGCCGCACTCAGCAATATTCCAGCTATATGGCGGCGGTCTGTAAATAATCGAGTCTGGACCAGACAATCCAGTGATCAACAGCATGAGCATCGATCTGCGCAATTGGGAACCGATGACATTTGTCAACCAAGTCAGCGAAACTGACCACCCGATCCCGTTAGTCGCCTCTTACGACAAGATAGTCGCCTTGTTATGGCAAGCACATGGGTTGCTGAAGACCTATTCTACCCCGGATCTTCACGGGTCACTTTGTCTCGATATAATTGTAATACATCGATAGAACGAAATAATGACTTGTGGTAACTGTCTATCCAACTTGTGGTAAAGGGGCCGCAACGATTTAGCATCCAGTGAACCTAACAGTTTCTGTCGAATTACTTTCAATACGACTTATTCTTCTCGACGATTTGCCGATACCAAATTTGCATCGTAAAATACAGGCATGGGTGGAGTAACCCATACATGCCATGCTGTTTCTTCTTATGTAGTTTTTTATAGTTTACTTACTGTTCTTCCCTGAATGCAACGTAGATCCTGCCATCACAATGGCGCAGTGCAATATCTTCACAGAAATCAGCATTAATAGTTGGCAATTTCAGCTGCAAAAATATCCCTGTGGTTGGATTAAAGGTAGCTATGGATCCCTCCTGTTCGCAAAACACGAGTGTACCTGTACCATAGACAAATATCGCGTGTATAAGTTACTCTTCTCAGTAATTGGGACATGCATGGGGCTAAACTACAAATGTATATTTTGGGGATGTTCGTTCTGGTTGAAACTTAGTTGACTTAGACACGGTACGATATTTGACATCATGTAATCCGGTTCCTGGCTGAAAAATAAAATGTCAAGTGGTTTCAAATTTCTATCATTTGGGAGTGTAATTTGGTTGTAGAGCTGCATGTGCGCCCTAGAAATGGTTGTTATGCACAGGGCATCGGTCTGTCGTTCGTTTGTTCTTGAGTTGTTATTATTAAGCTCAATCTACTCACCATCATCCTGAACTGCAAACGAAACGACCGGTACAGACCAAATCGTTACTAGAGTCCAGGAAGCGTCGCCTTCCTTAATCCTTAGAATCTTCTGGCCATCATTCATGTACACGTAGCTGAAAGAGGAAAGGAGTAATTCATGTGGGTTTTATATATTTGCAGACACTCAGGATGGCGGGTCGAGAACAAATCCCAAGATACGTACTGTTGTAACACTACTCACTCTAGCGGTAAAATCACGCTTTACAAGAGCTCAGCAGAAGTACTGACTGACTGACTGAGTTTGGTTTTACGCCGCTTTTAGCAATATTCCAGCAACATCACGGCGGGGACACCAGAAATGGGCTTCACACATTGTACCCATGTGGGGATTCGAACCCGGGTCTTCGGCGTGACGGACCAACGCTTTAACAACTAGGCTACCCAACCGCCCCTCTCAGCAGAAGTACCTACCACAGGTCAAGATGTGACTACAGCGGCTTGATGACACTAAATGGTTTCGCCAATGCCACACGCCCTGGAAGTCAACAAGAGGCCTCTATCCCTTGTCAAGACGTTAACACAACTAGTTGACAAAACCAAATTTAAAAGTTGCTATCTACGACTTCATATCTCTAGTTACCTCGCCGTAGCTTTGCCTTGGTTGTACAAACTGACCATTTACGTAAAGTGAATGAATGAGTGAGTTTAGTTTTACGCCGCACTCAGCAATATTCCAGCTATAATAGTGTCGGTCTGTAAATAATCGGATCTGGACCAGACAAGCCAGGGATCAACAGCATGAATATCAATCCACGCAATTGGGATACGATGACATGTGTCAAGCAAGTCAGCGAGCATGACCACCCGATCCCGTTAGTCGCCTCTCACAAACATGGGTTGCTGAAGATCAGTTCTAATCCGGGTCTTCACGGGTTCATTTACGTAAAGACAGATGACTGGTCACGTCAGTCGACAATAACAAGTTGTTCGTTGCAATTTGGATGGGTAACAGTCCCGATGCGATTCGAAGCTTTGCATAAAATGCGAGACAGATAAACCTCATTTTGAGAGAAACCACAAGGAGCAATTCTCAGAGAGATACTCAATTAGTTTTCCAGCTAATGTTCCTGGTAGTTCCGGTAGCAGACCCTCAAGATTTCATGAGATGCAGAAGACTTCTGAAGACGAAGACATAATGTGACTTTGTGCCCTGGCCGTTCAGCAGTGACTACTCAGCATTCAACCTACAGCTGGTGTTTCAGCTGTATACAAGCACTAATCTGATCCCTCTGTGTGTGTGTGTGTGGGAAGAGAGAGGTAGTGTGTGTGTGTTGTGTGTTACCTTCTACTTTGTTGTAGTAGCTATGTTTCTCAAAATAGGAAACGTTTTATTCTGTCACGTAATGTTATATATGTACAGGTCCAACAGCAAATAATATGATGCGCCTCCCTGTCGTAAATAACATATAAACCTCCTACGAAGTATAAATGTGAGTTATCCGCGTAATGTTGCAAACATTGTTTACTAGAATGGAAAATGAGTTGTTTTCTATATACATTTGAAAAACAACGACACAGGCTGTTATAGAAGTTGAATTCAAGTATTAGCTTCATTGTGTACATTATATACATACTTTCCAGATACGTAAAGCCTCCCGGGAGTGCCATCATCATACGGGAAGAGAAATCTGATTTGTGGATAGTTGGTCCTGTTGAACCCATACACTCCATTGAATGAGCTGTTGTCAAAGGTCAGAGCTACATACAATTCGTTCGTTGGCTCAAAGTAAGCAATGCCAGTTCCCTCTGCTGTCATTGATAATGGATCATCTGTGAACACAATCATACATACCTGTTAAACGTCATGCACTTGCTGTGAAGAAAGGTGAAAAACAATCAATTAATGTTAGATTCTGTCGCGGCGGTTAGATTCTGGTTTTCGCCCGACAGACTGATATTGCTGTACTTTTGATAAGACTGGGTAAATCTTCACTTGACGTACAAACCAAGAAGACTGACTAACTGATTGACTGAGTTTGGTTTTACGCCGCTTTTAGCAATATTCCAGCAACATCACGGCGTGGGACACCAGAAATGGGCTTCACACATTGTACACATGTGGGGATTCGAGCCCGGGTCTTCGGCGTGATGAGCCAACGCTTTAACCACTAGGCTACCCCACCGTCCCCAAAACCAAGAAGAGGAAAAGAAAATATTGGATTGTAAAATACATAGAAACATATATAGGTTAACGATCCCCGTGTCTTCAAACAATACATAAGTATCTTCTTCCCCGGCCTTTGTGCATTTGAGGGAATGTGTATGTGAGTTCGTAAGTGTGTATGTGTGTGTGTGTGTGTGTGAGGGTAAACTATATGTGTGTGTTTGAGGATAATATATACTCAGCAACAAACAAAACGTCAGTACGAATTCAAACTTAGATAGCCACTGTCATCAAATCATTACAGAAATGGACATAATAAGCGGATCAAAAACATGTTTTGTATACGATATCTTGACACATCAATGAATAACTCAGCACAATTTCAAGACATTACGTGAACGCCTGCAGTCCATTCAGACCCTTGACTTCAGTATCTAGTGTGACCACCAGGAGCGTCAATAACTGCAGCACAGCGTCTATGCATGGAGTGCACCAATCGATTAATGAAGGCCATTGGCACCTCGAACCACATTCTGAGAAAGGCCTGGCGCAATAAATCGGCTGTTTTCGGCCTTGACATTATTCAGTCTCCTCTGAATTTCATCCCAAAGATGTTCATTTGGGTTTAAATCAGGACTAAGGGCTGGCCACTGCGTAATGTTGACCCCGTTCTGCTGTAGGAAGTCCCGTGTAGCTATGGCAGTATGGGCCCCGGCGTTATCATGCTGGAAAATGTTGTTCCGGTGACATGCGAAATGTGGTATGACGTAGGGTCCGAGAGTTTGGTCGATGTAGCGCACCGCTGTGATGCCGCCTCCTCTCCCTGGACCAAGGTTCTGGAACACCACAGGACCCACTCTCTGGTTCAGGCCTATTCCAACCCATACCATGATGCTTGTACCTCCCCATGAGTCTTTTCCATAACACATTGGTCTGAGTAACGCTGGCCACGTCGTCGCCATATTCTTGTTCTGCCATCTGCAGTTGATACGCAGTACCGACTCTCATCTGTGAACAGAACAGTTCTCCATTGCCTGTATCGCCAGTTTTGGTGTTGTAGGGCAAACTGTAGACGTTCACGCCGATGACGAGTGGTGAGGATAGGTCCACGCCAATTGAGGTTCCCGCTGTTAAGACGTTGGCGTACTGTATCAGTACTGATTGGGCTTCCGTGTGTTCCCACTGTCTGGCGTGCTGTTTCGGATGCCTGCATGAAGGGATTCTGTACATGCTGTCGCACAACGTGGCGGTCTTGTCGTCTTGTGGTCACCCTTGGTCTGCCAGTACGAGGGCGATCACTTGTGGTGTTGGTGGCCCGGAAACGTTGCTGCAGCCTGTAGATGGTCCGAACGTTGGCCTGGAAGTGACTGGCAACGGCTTGTGCGGTGTGGCCAGCTTGAAGTCTTCCTGGCGCGAGTTGTCGTGAGTTGCGGCATCCTGCTGACGTTGTAATGTGAATGTTTCAACCAGGTTTGGGGGGAGGGGTGCATTTTATAGGGCTGGTCCTTGTGAAGAGCACGTGCAGCATGAGTTGCATGAAAAACATGGAGAACACCGTACCATCTCCGAGAACAGGTTGCGTTTTTGAGACCACTTCCTGGGTTCCATTCTGAGTTTGGGAAGGAATGTATTTGCTCAGGTAAAGTTGGAGATGTTGGGTACATCAACCCATGGGCCCCAAGGGACCAGACAACAACGTATTTATCTGACCGAACATGGTAATTTTGAACTGTTTGAAGCACGGTTATTGGATCATAGTATGGAGTACCAGACGACAAGACGACAAGAGAAACAAATTTAGAGTTATCTTCCTTCCACCGATTTGCATTCGCAAAACATCGGTAATTTCCGTACATCATACGTGATTCAATGTTATTCGAGATAAAGAATTACCACTACCAAGTACCAAATGAGTTCGGCATTCCCAGCGGGGTACATCTATGTAGCGGGGTACATTGAACATAATAGAAGAGTGCTCAGCCAATCAGAAAACGGCATTTATGTGTGAGGAAAGATAAAATTTATTACCACCCCTTAGAACAATTTGAAGTAACTGGAAGCCAATGCACATGAAATCGTTAACCCATCTATGATGTCATATTTTGTGTAGCATTTATTCAGAGTATTTTAACATTTTCCTTCCATTGTTGGTATGGGTCTCTCTCAGATCATCTCAGAGCTAAAATGAGCTAGTCTGTCCCAACTCACTACTTGCATTCGAGTCCTCCTCCCTTCAGGCCGCCGCTACAAAGTTCCAGATGTGAATAATAAGACAGCCCGAAGATCCTTTATTCTAAATACCAATCTCTTTTAAACAAATGTGAAGGTACTTAACTTATGTAAATATGTTGTGTATGATGTATCAGTAGCTCTGTTGATGTAACACAAATTCCTGAAAAGGCAATAAAGTATTATTCTATTCTAACCGCACTCTAAACTTTCAAATTTATAACTTGTTTGTAACTTACCAGTGCTGTTACCCAACACAACCTCCATACCAGTTGGAAGACTCAGACATCGGAGCACAAACGGTTCGCTTCCAAAGTAGTCAAACTCAAACGAGTCGTTATCGAAGGGTCCTAACGTCCAGCCAGTAACATTCGAAGCTAATTGGAATCCATTCTGGATGAAACCATTAGGATCCACCTCAGCAATAGTCGGTGAATCACAGGCGGCCACGAATATTGAACCGGTACCTTCACGAAACAGAACACAATTACACAAAGTGTACACAAATACTTCAGATGCATATTCAAACAAACAAACATTCAAGAACATCGAAAAACAACCTAGCAAATATAAAAAAGACAACAATACAGTAACTTGATCATGAGGATCAGCTTACCCTAGGTATAATGGCTTCTATATACTTCTGTGCAGTGTAATCTTTACGTTTTTTTATGCAATCAGAAATTTATAACCAGTGTAACCATGAATCAGTGTAACCTATGAGAAACACATCTCCCTGAGGAGTAACATATAATGCGAATTCTCAAAGATTACTTGTACGCATCCACAGAAACTCATCGTGGACATGTATTGCATATTAGGGGATAAAGATAGTGATTCGGAACAAAATATTCAGCATATACATTTGCAAATTCCTGTAACCAGCAGATGTTTACAATTGAAAGTTAGGAATGGGTTGTAACATGTTGTAATTAAACCTTGGAATGGCATTTCAGGAAATGGATATGTAACTGATATGTGAATGAATCAGTTAGTTGGGATGTATGCCGTGTTGAACATAATTACAGTTATATCACGGCGCGCATGCTTGGTAAACCAACATGGTCGGTGAACCAGAACTGATGCAAATCTTAGACGTTTACCGCTTTACTGAAACCTGATGAATTGGGTTAACTTCGTGCCTCGGATCCTTTTACAGGACAAAAAACTGTTATGGTCGATACGTCGGGGCTTAGGAAGGGAATATATAATGTGAGCAAACTGAAAAATTCAATACCCTGCAAATGCGGCCCTTGGTAGTGTGTAACGGGTGTGGGATGATCAGACAGATTCACCTTACCATGTCTATCTGCTGACGGGGTTAACTGTTTTTCTCTTACCCATAAGACTTCCATGACTTTTCGAATCCCATCATGGAGGTTTACATGAGGATCTTTAACCTTATCAAATCAGCTTTTTTGGTATCCTGGGTCATTTCAGCCATACATGGTTGCTCTAACTAATTGTGACAAGCAAGTTACTGCTAACTGTACTTAGATGGGGCAGGTGGCTCAGATGTCAAAGGTCAGACAAATAACTCTGCAACAAGTGAGTGAGTGATTTTATTTTTACGCCGCACTCGAACAGATAATCCATTGATCAACAGCCTGAGCATCGACCTACGCCACTGGGAACCGATGACATTGTCAACCATGTCAGCGAGCCTGACCACCCGATCCCATTAGTCGCCTTTTACGACAAGCATGGGTAACTGAAGACCAATTTTATCCCGGATCTTCACGGGTCTATTCTGTCCGGAAATAGTCAGAAATATCCATGTGCTTCAGAGACACTTCCATTCATTGGATGTCACCCGGATCTTCACGGCCCCTCTGGTAGAAGAGTTGCTTCATCTGGGCGTACCAGAAACTCCAGCTCGCCGGTTCGAATATAAGATTTGCGCTGGTTATATTTCTAGTGTTTTCAACACCATACCCTAAAGATCTAGTACCCGCATCAGGTAGGTGTGATGTGCCTTGAACCTGACTTTCCGTGATCCAACCGAGCCTCATGCATCTGGTCGAACTAAGAATTGGTGAACAGTTTAAACTTTCTGACAGTGATCTTATGTGTAATTTATCTGAAAATACATACGTTCGGGGCACGTTCTTGTGGTGTTACTGTCGAGAGACTCAACAAATGTGATTAAGGCATTTAGGTTGTTCCTGAAGACTTCAACCTTCGTTTCAAAGCATTCCACATCGTCAAATGTTTCGTTTCCAATCAGGGTTACGTTTTCTGCAAAAAAATTGATTATTTGTAACACAAAATACAGTGTATCTTACTTATCTTTTTTTCTTTAACTTCATTGTGAACAACATTCAAGAATATGAAGGCCAAATGTGTGAGCTATGTTGTTCAAAATAAACATTTCAGTTCATCGTTACTCATAATTGTTATTATTACTATAGGATACTTATATAGCGCACATATCCAGGCAACTAGTGCTTCCTCATGAATGTGTGAACCCATGATGCCAATAATTATTTAACATTCTGACTGCCATTTCATTACGCCTTGCAAAGGTAATTGAAAATTGCAGTAGGTCAACAGAAAGACTACCTATATGCAATCGATTTTGTTGAAATGCTGTATGCAGCTTAACGAATATATTTTGTAACATACTGGTTACAAAATCGGACGATGGAAATATTTCCAAGTCGTGTTGTGCGTGCAAGAATACAATCGTGCACTATAGTACACTGCAAAATTACTGTGTGGCTATATATACCAATGATTGGTGCGGATATACTGTCTGATATTCGAGACACACAACGACGGCTATGCTTCTTTCGATAAAAAGTAACTGCAAGGTGAACCTTGATTTTCTGGACGACATCACAGGAGGGACACCTGCAAACGCTCAAAGGAGACAAAATGTGGCATAACTACACAAAACTCTAGTAAGTGTTCGTTTGCTCTGTTGTGCCGACTATATGCACTTTTTAGAGTTATGTAGCAAGGCAATCCAGTGTGAAAGATGAATGCTCACGATTATTAGTATGAGGGTATAACCAGTGAAACAGAACATCCTGTGCTTTCAGTCGCCTTAAAAGATATGACCCCGTGAGTTACGACACTATCTCGGCTTGAGGAATACATGCCCAACGCAGTACATTGTGAAAAACAAAGCGCCCTGTACCTGTAGCTGCCTTTATAAGACCTATATGTAATCCAATGCTGAAACCTTTGTGCATCCAGCATTATACAAATAAAAAACAAATACTTACACCTAGCTACTTTAATAAAATATCAAATATAAAAAAAATCACGGATTATAAGAAAACATGAAGTAGTGTATGCCCCAGCTACAATATATTTAAATGCTGTATTTAAATATGGATAACATAGACACACTTTTTCATCCATTAAAAGGTGACCAAACGGAAAATTAAAGTCGTCCCATCTCCAAAGCAACAACACCAAACAGACAAATGCACATATAGACAAAACACCCCCACACACACCCACACACACACACACGCACGCACACACACACACCAACACAAAAGAAAATAACAACTTCTGTCATACTTCCAAATTCGAAATTCATACAATTTTAATTATGCAACACTACCATCAGGTTGCACACATTACAACGAAGCATCTACACCCGAACATGTCCTACTACACAACAACAACACAGAATAGTGCTCCAGAGTTCACTGGACACTAACACGCACATAACGCTACAGGCACTCCTAAGGCGATTAAATCACACCCAAACCTGCAACACCTATAGTTCTAATCAAAACATGCTTTCTAGTTTGCATACAATCCCACATGGTCAACAAGTACAATGTAAAAAAATCCAAACCCCATAACCTGAAACCAAAACAAAATATAAAAACAAACAAATGTAATACCAACCGAACCACCCCGTAGTTCAGCTCCGCCGACCACTTCTGGTAAATTTCAAAATTATTTAAAAAATAATCTTAGATATTTAGACCAATGATATTTGTTAGTGAATATTATGAAAAATACTCCACGTGAGCTAAAAAACCCACATAAATAGAGAATAATATACGATCTGGTAAATTTCAAAATTATTGAAAAAATAATCTTAGATATTTAGATCAATGGTATTTGTTACTGAATATTCTAAAAATACTCTACGTGAGCTAAAACCCCACATAAATAGAGAATAATATACGATCTGGTAAATTTCAAAATTATTTAAAAAATAATCTTAGATATTTAGATCAATGGTATTTGTTAGTGGTGGTGGAATTGGGTTTAACGTCGTGCTTGAGAATATTTCCCTCATATGACGACGTGCATGCGTGTGTATGTGTATGTGCGGCTGCTTGTACTAGCCCAGACTTAAGCTGGTTTTATAGTGCTAGCTCACTGAAGTACCATGCCGCAGTGAAGCATGAATACCCCACTCAGACACATTATACTGACTCCGAGTCGACCAGTCCTTGTTGTACCCATTAATGCCGAGCGCCAGGCAGGGACCAACATTATTTGAACGTATTTTGGTATGACGCGGTCGGGGATCGAACCCGGTACCTTCCGCACTGCGGGCGGACGCTCTAACCACTACACCACGGAGACGGACGGTATTTGTTAGTGAATATTATAAAAATACTCCACGTGAGCTAAAAAATCCACATAAAGAGAGAATAATATACGATCTGGTTAAGGGCGTTGATCAGTTATAAGGCCCTTACTTTCCATTGAGTGTCATATCATTTTATCCTTTCAGCTGGACAGGTTTTTGCCAAGGGTAACGCAAAGAAACTGAACTGCCTCGTGAGGAAATACATGGGTACCGACAGCGTCCTAGAAGATTTAATCTAACGCGGTAGAACTCGCACGGACGTTAAAATTATAAATGATTAATAGGAACATCAGTTTCTAGGCAGTTAACAAAATGCAGTAAATCAGAATGGTCTCAATCTAAGTCTTGCCATGTTGTGAGTAGTTACACAATAAAAGGAAAAGACATGTTAATTTATGTATATTACTAATCAATGGCTCTCAATACAATTCAGGATACATCTGACATGTTTAAGGCGCTTTTGACAGGTAGATATAATATTAGTGTATAGATCCGAACAATTCAGCGTATATGTGGGAGTTTTAAGTTGTTTTGGGAAGCACCGTCTCGAACAGGGACCAAACACTTTTCATTGAGGCTATTTGGGAACGTAGACGGAAAAGGCTTCACGTTAATGTCAAAAGTTTCTTATAAGTCTTCTGGCTGAACACTGCACCTACACTACACACTAGTGATTCAAGAGAACACGTCATGCGTATTGCGTAATTAAACGCTTGTTTAGACCAGTTCACTTCCACGTCATCGTGTATAATATGTAGGATCACACGCTAAAACTTTTGATAAAGGAATCAAGTCGATAATCGTTTGATATAATAACGCTCAAAATGTGTGTGCTGGTGATAATTGTTGCACCTTTGCTGTATTTGAACCCACCCACGAAATCAGTTTAGAGGAAAGGACAGTTTTGTAGGCCCATTTTATTCGGACAAAAATGCGAGTGATAACATTACTGTATCACAGCTGAATCAAGTTAAAATACAGTTGTGTCATGATACTTGCATGTATTTTCAAGCTTAAATTTGCAATATAAAGAAACATCAGCTTTGATCAAATGAAAATATTAATTTGAATAACACCCTAAATTAGCCCAATTAAGTTAAATTGAGTTGAATTTTGTGCCATGTTACTTATAATCATACTTTTATTTGTCCACAACCTCCAAAACATGAAGTTTGAGCAAATAAGAAATACGCTCTCGTATTAAGTCACAATAATTTAAATTTTGTGTCATGATACTAAAACATACTTTCTTTAATCTACAACCCCCAAAACATGAAAAAAACTTTCATTTTGAGCAAGACGTAAATATTATGGCCCATTTGCGAGATATTTTAATAACGCTCTAACTTACCCAAATTATGTCAAAATGATTTAAATTTTGTGTCATGATACTAATAAACACACTTTCAATCATTTACAACCCCCAATACATGAAAAACAACCCATTCATTTTGAGCAAAAGTAAATATTTACGATATTAGAGCGTTATTTATCTATCTCGACTATGGGAGAAATCTATTCGCCAATAGGCGAGATAATATAATAACGCGGTAAATTAACTGAATGAAGTCAAATTGATTTAATTTGGTGTCATCATACGAATAAACATACTTTCGCGCATTCACTGCATCCAAAACATGAAAAAACGTTCATTTTGAGCAAAAGTAAATATTCTCGCCCATGGGCCAAATTTATTCGCCAATAGGCGAGATTGTTTATTAACGTGCTAAATTAACCGAATAAAGTCAAATTGAGTTAGAGTTTGTGTCTTGATACTTATAAACATACTTTCGCTCATTCACTTCCTCCAAAACATGAAAAGAAACCTTCATTTTGAGCAAAAGTATATATTCTCGCTCATGGGCGAGATATTTTAATAACCCTCTAATGTAGCCGAAAATGTACGAAAACGTAAGAAAAATTAATCAAAATAACATAAAATATGCAATTTTGAAAACTAAATAAATGACAAGAGCAACGAAAAAAAACCCCACGAAAACATCATGTAGTTGATATAATTTGAAAATAATCGGGATTACGAGGAAATTATCAAATGAAATTCCAATTTCGAAAACATATACATGTATATGTGAGCGAAATAACAGAAGTGGACAAGTCCGTCGCCAAGTCAATTTCGCATGTCTAACGGCTTTTCAATTTATAACAGAAGATGACTAATATTATGTGTATAAAGCCACTGAGATACTATTGCACGTTTAAGTTTAAGTAACAACGTAAAATTGTGTCCTATAAATTTTATGAAGAAGATATTCAAAGATCCCTAATGGTTAGCCTAGCTAACCTCGATCAAGAGCATAGTTGTTTTATTATATCAGTCACTTGATTGCCTATTATGGACTTGAACATTACAAGGTTGTGTTTATGTTTCCGGAAGAATGCTAGGCATCCTAGTCACACACTGTACACAAACATTTGTATGATTTGTAACTTTCAGCTGCATAAGGTCCATCTTCAATATTTGTCATACATACATTTACTATGAAGGAAGGTACGGTATTCTACTTACCAAGGCATGGACACTGATCGTCAGTGATCCCCAGTACGCCTCCTACTTCGGTGTCAATATCACGAAGATAACCAAGGAGAGTGGCAATCTTATCTGGTATGGTTTCTGATGCTGATGGAACGAGGATGGCCAGCAAGATACACGGTACACATCTGGAGTAGAGCCACATCTTCATTCTGTTAAACAGCTGCTGACAAGTATGAGCCTGTTACACGAATTTATAGTGATGCTCGACAACCTTAACCTTGTCCGCTGAAACTGGAACGCAGTCATGTGTGGATGGCCTGCATTCAACGGGCCTCGGGAAACAGAAGTTTCACCTATTTGTTATCTCGTATATTCTGATCTTTCTAAAGGCGTTTTTTATTCAACAGTGGCTCAAGCATATACTGGGGACCATCTCTATATATATGTTTTATTTGATGTGTTTGTCCTCTTGAGGGCAGAAATATTAAAACGCAATTGATGGTGGACAAGCTAATTACATAACTACATGTATATTTGTCAGGGTATATACCCCATATGTGTTTATGTGTATGTGCGGCTGCTTGTACTAGCCCAGACTTAAACTGGTTTTATAGTGCTAGCCCACTGAGATACCATGCCGCAGTGAAGCATGAATGCCCTACTCGAACACATTATACTGACTCCGAGCCGACCAGTCCTTTTTGTACCCATTAATGCCGAGCGCCAGGCAGGGACCAACAAGAACCATATTTTATCGTCCTTTTGGTTTGACGCGGTCGGGGATCGAACCCGCGACCTTACGCTCTCCGTGCAGACGCTCTAACCACCACACCACGGAGGCGGTCCATGGTCTTGTAATGGTGCTTGGTGATGAGTAGGAACGCCTGGCTACGACCGATGTCGAGTCGCCTGTTTGTAGCCGCCCGATTTCGTCTGCAGTCGTGGCATGTTTCCAACTTTCACTTGCTGTATAACTGTGATGACAGATAAAGGAAAACCCATCGTTCCCATAGCCCAAATATATACACTTCTCATCAAAAGTTTAGGATCACAAGTGTAAATATAGCCACTTACTTCAGACAACTGTTATAAACTAAATTTTGCAAACTATCCCTTAATGGTACTGTTCACACATGAACTAATGTATTGTGAAACAAATTCGGAACGTTCAAAGATTATTGTTGTCATGAGTTCAGTAAATGATGAAATCAGTGAAAATTGGCAAATTCTTAACAACACTTTACACCATAACGCAGCCGTTCACATGCACGATATTTGCACATGCTTTTCAGCAATTTGATGCATGATCCTCGTGCAATTCAGCTGCAGTTGGTTTCCCCAGGTTAGTGGAGAAGTCAATCTTCGATGTAACATATATATATATACATATAACTATAACATATAAAGAGTGCTTTAAGTGAGTCTTAACTTTTGAAGAGAAGTATATGTTGCCTGTTCATTCCATACTCGAACGTGACTACTGTTTTGCCTTTCCCCCCGACTGTTATGGTCTTTTCACCCACACAAATCATACTTGACGCACACAGTAGTCATATCTGGTATTAGTTTTGTATTAATGTCAGCAAAACGTCAACTATTTCCAAATTTTCTACCATTGCGTTTTTATAATTGCAGAGTATATCTGTTGAAAGAAATCGGTCGAAGTAGAGAACTGTGGGCTACAGCTGACACAATTAGTTAGTGTGAAATCTCGTAGGTGGTATTAGTCATCTGTCAGCTGCCTTGTGCCACGTTGAAACCACATTTTGCAACTAACATCTGTTATTTAAAACATGGTGTACAAGCGTTTCGGCCCGGACAGTCCGTTGGACGATGACTTTGACTTTCTGATACGTCTGCTCTGGTCAGCTCAGAGATCCCATGTTATATAGGCCTCCATTGACTCGGAGGAAAGGTAGTGACTAGAATAGACTAGAATCCCCCTACTGAATGACTTTCAAAGTTCATCATCTAAGTTTACTGAGAAAACGAGGTGATTCAACTGATACGATTTTAATCAATATCATGACCACTTTGTACTCATTTATGAAAATGTGGGATGTTTGTTTTTACTTTAAAGGGGGGATAACTCCTATTTTGAAATGATTCAATACACGAATGAACTTATCACCTCTGCTGCGAATCCCGGCTCAATGCACGGTGCACAGGTAGGTTTCATGTGAAAGTGTGTTAAACTGTTTCCAGATGCCTTCATTTGAAATTGGTGAAATAGCAATGTTTCTTCAGATGCTTGATTCGCATTTTAGAAGATGCTATTTGATGAACATAGAGATGTTTCTGGGTTACATCTTCTTTTTATTCTTGATTACAACGTTTCAGGGCTTATTCTAGCCCCATCATCAGGTAAAACTGAACAGTTTACCTAATGATGGCGCTAGAACAAGCCCTGAAACGTTGTACTCAAGAATAAAAAGAAGATGTAACCCAGAAAATTCTCTATGTTCATCAATGTTTCTTCAGTTTGTAACCGAACGAAAAATGAATTGAAAATCGATTTTCAATCTACCGGTACAAATGCCATAGAAATACCAGTCTACTGAGTGTCAGTATCAGTGAAAGGTGCAACTTTGCAGTCCGAACTTGACCACACTGAAGGGATCGAGCTGCAAAATCAACTTGTAAATCATTGAAAATCACTCCAGGAGATGGATTGGTCTAATTCATGTCCTAATATCTAATTTATAACCATTTACCCACAATTTTTAAATTTCTGGCTAAAAGACTTCACACATGACGGCAAGAATTGTTTTTCTCACGGAAATTAGTTTTTACTGTAAAACATACTTAGAGAATTAATCGCTTTTCAGCTATTTACCTTCATTTGTATTAATTACTTCAAACGTAACGCCCACTGGCCATATTGGTTTAGAAGATCTGCATTTATGTTGAAACGTTGTAAATAAATGTTGCACTCAATTTACCAGTATGGGAATGATCTGTGGACACACAGGTTAGGGACTGGCGCCAGTGTACATTGTATAGGTTGCCAACAAACCATTTCATACAGGTATTATCCATCACATGAGCCTTTATCGGGTACTACCTAGTTGTCCGTCACTAGTTGGTCAAGTCTTGGTGATCAATGATGGTTCATACTGAGTGAAAAGGAAGAACAGTGCTGTTAAAAAGATCACCAGCACCTCGATAGGGACCATGGCGACATACGGTGCTGTTGCTACGTGCATAGACCCTAGCTGGATTTAGTCAAATTTCATAGTAGCAAAATGCGGTCGACGAATGAGCATTGTGATCTTAGATATTAATTAGTTTATTAGACGTTGGATCATACCAAAACAAAGACGCAAGTTCTTCGGTGTGACGAGCGAAAGCGAACCAGGCTACACCACCGCCCCCACTCACTAGAGAAGTAGGCCTACCATAAATTCGTTAATGGATGTTGTCACCAAAGGCAAAATAATAGACGATTACATTTCAAATAATGACATGCATTTATAATGATGGCGCAAACACTTATTTACATCCGGGCACAGGAACCTATTCAGCTCTTGATTTGTCTATTACTGACTCCAACTTACTGAGTGAATTCGAATGGTCAGTCTATGATGACCTCTGTGGAAGTGACCATTTCCCAACACTACTAAAACCCGTGAATCCATCTGATGTTCCTCCATCATCAAGATGGAATTTTAAAAAGGCTAACTGGTCTATATATGCAACTCTCTGTGCTGACTAACTGAAACCTGAACTTTTTAATGTTATTCCCGATGCCATAAATTGTTTTTCAGATGACCTATCATAGCTGACGAATCTATCCCTAAATCCACTGTAATTCATCATGTCATACTGATCCCTCAAACTATAGACCAATTTCACTAATAAGCTGCGTTTGCAAGACCATGGAACGCATGATAAATAATCGACTTGTTTGGTACTTGGAAACCAATAACCTAATAACAGATATACAATGGCATTCCTCGTTGTCTAATGGCTCAAAAACTTACCTATATTCTCAATTTAAATTTAGTTTTGGTGTTTGGTCTCCATTGCATAACTATCAAGAAATTTCGTATTGCCTTAGCGAGGTTCAGGTGTAGTTCACACCAACTGAATATAGAAACTGGTAGATATATAAAGAAACCAAAAAACTCAAGATTGTGTGAGAAATGTGTTCCTGTAACTATGTAGAAAATGAGTACCACTTTTTACTGATTTGTTCTGCCTATGATGATCTTCGTTAACGTTTTATCCCTGTCGATGTGTAAATTTAATCGACTGATGAGTAATGCTACTCCTCTGGTTTTAAGAAATCTTGCCTTGTTTATCTTCCATGCTTGAAGGCTGCCAATGTATAACGTTGTACCATGGGCCGATGACCTTAACAACAGAACTACTAGATCCATTATTTAGTGCGTTTGGAATCTTTTGTAAAAAATGCCATAATTAATAAACAACAAAAAGTGTCCATATTTTCGATCTAGAAAAGCATACGACACTACATGGAATCCTGGTATTTTGGATTGGATTACGAGGTCGTTTGTCTCTTTTATATCCAACTTTTAAATGACAGGCAATTTCAAGTCCGAGTGGGTTCAACCTTGTTTGATCATTACAATCAGGATCAGGGTGTCCCACAAGGCAGTATTTTGTCTGTCACACTTTTTAGTATCAAGATCAACAGTTTATCAAAGGTTTTAAATGATTCATGGATGGATCACTTTTTGTGGATGATTTTAATATTTCTTGTCGTGGTAAAAATATGCATGCTATTGGACGGCAACTGCAATTGTGTTTAAACAAAATAAATAAACGGTGTCTTGATAATGGCTTTAACTTTTCAAAGTCAAAAACAAATTGTATACATTTCTGTAGAAAATATAAGCCGCATAAGGACAAAGAACTGTTTTTAAATGGCTCTCCCATCAAAGTTGTTAAGGCCAGGTTCAAGTTCTTGGGTTTTAACTTTTTCCAATTTCCTTGACTCCCATTTTGAAAGTTTTCTAATTCCAAGCTATATCTCTATCATCAATCCTTGAAAAATTAAATGCCTGAAGACACTCGACTTATTTCAGAAACAAAACAATAACAAAACTATACTCTAACGAGTCTAATCCTGCATTTAACTGTGGTGTTTTCAGTCCTCTTTATGAGGATTTGTACAATAAAAAGTCTTCTCTTGTTCCGCCACTTGGTTAAAGAATTATACCATTTATGTCTGCTGCTGGCATT